CTGATTCGAATCATGCAGGTAGATTACAATTCAAATGAAGTGGTTCAGATCAGTGATTCGAATCAAGTGATTCAGGCAAGTAATTCGAATCGAGAGATTAGATGTTTGATACCAAGTCATTTGGCTCACTTTTCCTATCAAGTTCTTCAGATCATAAATTCGAATCATGCCATTTGGATAAATAATTCAAATCCAGTAATTCAAATCACTTATTCAAATTATGTGATTGGAATAACTGATTCTTTTGAAGTAATTAAGATCACTGATTGGAATCATGCGATTCAGGTCACCATTCGAATCATGCGACTTGAATATTCATATTCGAATCATGTCATTTGAATCACTGATTCTTATGAAGTCATTCGGATCACATTTCGCATGTGAGATTTGGATCACTTTTCGAATCAAGTGGCTCAGATCAGTGATTCGTACCCTGCCATTTAGATCAATGTTTCGAATCAAGTGATTTCGATTACTATTCAAATCAAATATTTAAGAACAGTGATTTGAATCAAGTGATTTAAATCACTGATGATGGAATCAAGTGATTGCGATCATTGATTCAAGTCAATAATTCCAATTGTCTGATTTGGATCACTTTTCAAATCAAATGATTCAGATCAGTGATTCAAATCATGCCATTTGGATCAATGATTTGAACCAAGTGGTTCAAATAACTGAATCTTAAGAATTAATTTAGATCACTGATTTGAATCATGCGAGTCGGATCACTATTTAAATCAAGTGATTTCTATCAAGTTCTTGAGATATCATTTCGAATCCAGCTATTTTGATCACTGATTTGAATAACATGAATTAAACGACTTAATGGCGAATCATGTGAATCGAATTAAATTATTCAAAAAAAGTCGAAATTGCAAAAAATTTACTTTCCTATCAATATTTTTCCTTTAGCTAATGTCGATAGAAAAAAATTTATTATTTTTTCTCGCTAAAGAATTCTCTCGCGCGTAAATAAATGTACTTATTACATATTTCGTATAATTATATTGTATATTTTGCTAAATGCTATAAAAAAACTTTTAACTATGGTAAATTTTAAGAAACTACAAAATAAATTTTTTGTTTTATACTTATTTTTTTATCTGAATTCATTGAATTCTTTAATTGGAAAATTTCAAGTCCTTAATAATGAATGTGTTATAATCTTTCAAATTTTACTAGATATTTTTAACTGTGTATGACATTGTATCACTGTGAAACAAACCTGACTAAAATTTAAGAAACAGTTATTCACTGTAATTTAAATCTATTTCGGTAAAATGAACTTAATTTGAATAAACTGATGCGGATCACTGATTCGAATCTTGATTCCAATCATTTGCAAGTTGGTGATTTGTATCACCGAATCAATTCAGTGATTGGAGTCACTGATTCGACTCATCGAATGAGTACCCAACTCTACATGTAAGATGAACTGTTCGTGTGTGCGTGAATCGAAACGATGTGTGGTTGCAAATGTGAATCACATTTAGTGAGATTGCTTCATTACCACTTCATACTGGATGCCTCTCACAAGATGCGAAAAATAAATCGCATGAACGTATTTAGAAAAGCCTGATTGTCGTGTTTTTTGCGGGTAAATATCAGGTCAACACTAAGGAACCGTTCTAACTGCATGCAAATTTGCTAATGCGTACAATATCGTAGTACAATCCTATACAACTGAAAAGAAAAGGGGAGGGAAGGGAGAAGGGCCAATGGCATGAAACCCTTAGATGGCGTCTCTCCCTAGATGGCGTATTCGAGCGTTGCGATAGCTAATAGTTTTGTTCCTTTTTGAAATATTTTGCTTCGAAAGCAGCAGTTTTTGAGTTTAAAATATATTTAATTAGCTAGAGTAACGAAAGGTGTAATAAAATTCACTGTTTGCGTTTGGCACGCTATAACGGTTGCCTCAANTCGGTCCCTACGCAGACTGATCCAAGTGGTCACCCACCCGCACACTGACCACAGCCAGTGATGCTTGACTTCGGTGATCTGCTGGGAACCGTGTCTTAACGATCAGTCCACTGCGGGACGTCAAGACTGGGGAACCGTTCTAACTGCATTCAAATTTGCAGATGCGCATGAGTACGTGGCGGCAGTCACTCATAAAAATTATGCAACGATAGTTCGTTCACCAGGAGTGGGCACTTGGCTCCGCCTACATCACGTGATATCCGACGATACTATTTCGCTATTTTGGGGTGAAGGTAGTCAACAATGCTGAACAAGGTTGCTATTTGGCTATTGTATGACAAAAATATTTATTTCGCAATCTTTATGTGCATTTTTTTAACATTAAATATTTCATAAATTTGATGATATTTCTCTCTTTTCAGTGAATTGGAGATCGAAATGGGCTGCAGGTGGCATAGAGCAGAACTCCCTACCTATGGCAACACTTTGCATGCTTTCCCCAGTAGCGTGTGGAGAGTCATAGAGGAAGAAAGTACGTTAGTTTCTCTCTTGATTTTCATACAGATTAAAATCTCTTAAGTTGGTAAACTGTATGGAACTGAAAGCTACATTAAACATAGTTCTAAAGAAGAGCATCACGGAAATTTTAAAGAATATTTTTATGAAATGAAAGGGGAAAATATTAAGAAATGGAAAATATCGTAGTACAATCCTATACAACTGAAGAGAAAAGGGGAGGGAAGGAGAAGGGTCAAAGGCATGAAACCCCTAGATGGCGTCTCTCCCTAAATGGCTTATTCGAGCGTTGCGATCGCCAATAGTTTGTCCTTTTTGAAACATTTTGCTTCGAAAACAACAGTTTTTGAATTTAAAATATATTTAATTAGCTAGAGTAACGAAAGGTGTAACAGAATTCACTGTTTGCGTTTGGCACGCTATAAGGGTTGCCTCAATTTAAAGGGCGGAGATATTTTTCCTCTTTATCCCGCGCTGAAACTAATTCAGCGTCCGAGGAGGTGGAACCAAGTTCCAACTCCTGGTTAACGAACTATGATCAGGTTTTTAAAAGCATCTAGGAATTTTCATATTGAATTTTTCTCTTGTAATATTTCCGAAATCGCATCTGCGAATATTTTGTATGTTATGAGAATCGGTCTTCTTGTTTCCACTAGCAGTTTAAGAAAGCTTAAACGCTTGGAAAACCGGTTTAATTAAGCTAAAGTGAACATCAAGATGGTATGGATGGTGTTTTTTACACTAGGGAACGCTGCAAGCTCTATACTGCCTATACTTTCGGGTTACTGTTTCCCGTGTATTTTAAAGCCATTTGGCTCACAACGTGATCATTGTGTCTTGAAATTCTTTCAAACGTGGTATTTGATTATATATTACTCGTGTCTTCAATGCAAATAATGCTTTTGTTTACAATGCTAAAGGCGCGAACACTGACGTAAAATGGTGCGCAGCTTGCAACAAGAACAAACACTAATAAAGAAATGGAAAGAGGCCGAATAAGCACTGCCAAAAAAGCGAGTTATTCAAAATCTAGTAACCATGCCACCTTTTTTAACACTTGTAGTTGTAGTTAATTTACGTCGCACTAGAGCTGCACGTTGGGCTATTTGCGACGATCTGAGAAACACCCCTGAGGATGATCCGAAGACATGCCATCACGATTTTGATACTCTGCTAGGGGATGGCACCCACACTTCGGTAGCCTGACGACGTCGAGCACTTTACAGTAGAACAGTTTAACGAGGACCAATACCGCGCAACCTCGGTCCCTACGCAGATTGATCCAAGTGGTCACCCACCCGCACACTGACCACAGCCAGTGATGCTTAACTTCGGTGATCTGCTGGGAAACGTGTCTTAACGATCTGTCCACTGCGGGACCTTTTTTAACACTATGTGTATCGATAACTGAAGCAAATTTTCACATCATACTCACCGAAATTACTCAATAACATCAATATCTTAAGAAATACGGCAGATTTGAGCTCAGAAATTATCTGATTTACTCCTATTATCGAAAACAAAATTATCCGTTTGAAAATATCGCCTCGCAGAATGAGCTGTAGCAATTGCAAACTTTCTAACCGGTGCTAGAGCAGGTATACAGCTCGAGATTGTTATTGTTTACTTTTATATTGAATACACCATCCATAAACCTACTTGGAGAAAGAGTCTTAACACGCCACATATGCATTTCTCAGATGATGGATCATTGTAATATGTTCGAGATGTGAACGAGATGCGATGATATAAAATTCATGAGCATCTTCACTGAATGCAGTTGCCGCCTCCTCGATTAATGCCGAGAGAAAAAAAGAACCTGATTGGTAAGTCTCTCAGGGTGAAATACATTTTGCCAATTCGCGATCGCAACACTCGAATACGCCATCTGGGGAGAGACCGGTTTCATGCCTTTAGCCCTTCTCCCTTCCGTCTCCTCCTCGTTTCAGTTATATAGAAATGCACTACGATATTTTCGCTTTTCTTAATATTTTTCCTTTTTGCTTAATAAAAATATTTTCTAAAATTTCCGTGATACTTTTCTTTAGAACTATGTTTAATGTAGTTTTCAGTTCCATATAGTTTTTCAAGTTAAAAGATTTTAATCTATATGAAAATCAAGAGAGAAACTAACGTACTTTCTTCCTCTATGACTTTCCACACACTAATGGGGAAAGCATGTGAAGTGTTGCCATAGAAAAAGAGTTCTGCTCTACGCCACCTGCAGCCCACTTCGATCGCCAATAAGGTTTTCATATTTCTCCGACGTAATCGGAAGTGCAACAATCTCAACCAATGGGAATGCTTTTGAAGGACTATTCACACTAGGTACAATTTTTTTCACTTGAAAAAAAATCGCATTCAGTGTGAGTGGCCCTTAAATCAGGTTAACAGTCTCAAAAATTCTTTTTTAGCAGTGAGAAGAGTCCCTTCTCCAGTAAAAGTTAGAATCGAACCTTTAATAAAATACTTCTTGAACCAATGAAACACATCATACTAATTTCCAATTTACTAGCGACATCTACTGAAATTTATGAAAACTTTTGAAATCTTATCAGAAAGTGTAAGTATGACAGTCTACAAAATAACAATTTTAATCAAAATTAGCCACAGAAAGAAATTGTAAATATGTTTCGTGGTTTGGTCTTTCAAGATCACAGAAAAAGAAATGTGTAATGTCGTAAATCAAATTAAAGGAGAATTTTTGTGCTTTTAATAAATTCATTATTTCTCTGAGCGTGTTTAAACAATGGGTATTCTTTTAGCAAAATTGTGGAGTTTGTTTTCAAATGAAGGTGAGATTTTGAACTGGATTTATTTGTTTATATTATTAAGAAGGCAGAACTTACTCATAACTAAACAGTAAAGTCATACTGTGTAATTTATTCAAATTATTTTAAGACTTAGATATTTTTGTGCGTTTAGCTTTCTATATTTGAAGCATATTGTAAACTTTGTTAACTTTTATTCATCGATAACCTTTAATCTAGTAATGGTACTGTTATATGGCAAAGCAATTTTTTTTTAATTAGGCATATTATGTGATTGAATAATTGTAATAAGCTGTCCCAATATTTGTCTTTTTTTTATACTTTATCATTTCTTAAAAGCTGTCACTGCTTTGCTTATTGTAAAATATGTTAGTATTAATTATTTGAATGTAAATAATAGTATGGTAGAAATTTTCAAGAATCAGTTTTCATCGTAAACTTATCAGGAAGTTTTGTTGCAACTGAGTAAAGAGAATTTTCTTAAAGAAACATGATTTTAATTTTCTGTGCTATATTAAATTCTATTTCATAAATTCAGTTTCTGAAAGAGGCTAGACTTATATTTGATAATAATTAAAAGATTTCCCTATCATGATCTGCAGCAGAACAATCACCCAGTCTTGACAGCTTACAAAGAGCGGCTGTGAGAAACCAAAGACATCGCAAAAAGGGGGCAACCTGTAGGGTATAACTTGTAGGGACCCACAAGCACACTTCTTTATTTTTTCTTAAGAAATTTTATAGTTTAGAATTCATTTGGCACTTAGATGATTGTAGTTGGTGCGACTGATCACAATATGGAACTATCCCAAAATTAATCTTAGCAATTTTAATATATTTAATTTGTTTTTACATTATCGGCACGAACTTATAACTAACTTTTATTAATATAATAGGCAAGAAATATGTATTTAATTTATAATTTTTTTCAAATATTAATATTGGATTGAATTTTTATTAACTTTACTTTTGTGGAACTTATTAAATTAATGTAGTTGAGATGAGAGGTCTCATGACTGAATATTCCTTATATAAGTACACAAAATTAGAAAATACCCGAAGTATTTTTATAGAGTAAATGTGTGTATCATTTTCTGCTTATAGATTTTTCATATTTGTGCTGTTTATTAGAAACCTTTTAAATTTTTGTAGAAAGTTTTTTTTATTATTATTATTATTCTCATCATTAATATAAAATAAGTCGACTTAATTTTACATGAATAATTGGTGTTTTTTATTTGATTTAAGGCAATTGTTTGCTAATGGCATTTAACTTTCAAAAGAGTTCATGTAATCAGACTCACTTAAAATGATGAGAGAATACTTGATTAATTTTAATTAGTAGTTTTAAAATGTTTAATTAAAAAAATTATTTCTTTTTTAATAAACTAAAAATTAAAATTTTGTTACTTGAAAGTTTTTTGGAGGAAAATTCAAAATATTATTTAGGTTCTGCTAATAGTGGCTGGTGACATTTTAAATTAACAGATCACAAAATAAAACTCGATATCATATTTGCAGAACTTAATAAGTGTATCTAATTATTTTAAATTACACAACGATAATATATTTCATTTTACGTTGGTACCACTACCCTTCTCGTGGTAACTGCCGTCTGTGGTGGGTGCACCTATATAATGGCATTAACATTGTTGTACCAATTTTACTCATTGTCTTTGCTTAGCAGTTATTAATAAGTAAATAAATTGGATTGAGCATAGGAAAACTTTCAAATTATAATTTAGATTCTTAGATTATTTATTAAATTTAGATTATTATTCTTTGTTTATTTCACAAACAAAGTTTTTGTATTTTATGACATCCATTTCTAACTTGGTGAGTGTTTTAAATTCCCAGTCACCAAAAACTATTTCTCATATTGTGCTGCTCTATGCTCTGACTTATTCAATGTTGCCAGGTTGGAGTGAAACAAATCAGTCTCTTAAATGTGTGCAAAATGGTCCAAAAAAAATTTATGGATAAATTTTTTATGCTATACCTATAAAATTATGATATGCTTATATTATTATTGTCATTAAGATACCCACTCTAGTTGTTTGCCTCATAAAGTTGTTTCCTATTCCTATAAAATTACTATATACCTTTATTATTATTGCCATTATCAACTCTAGTTGTTTGTTATATAATTCAATGATTAAAGATTTAATTAACGCTCACACCACTGGTGGAAATCTGGGGGTTGTGAGTTCGATCCTTGCAGCCGACTGAACAACCTGTGTGCAAATGCAGTAGGGTGCACATTAAAACTGACATGGCAAAAAGTCCTCGCGTTGGTTATAATGTGTGTACCAGCTCAGGCGCTGTTCATGTTGTCTGACCGAGATCAAAATTAGATGGTATTCTTTTCGAAGCTTTTTAAAAATAGAGCCCTATAGGTACTTGGTTGGTGTGATTATTTTCCATTGGAGTAGGTGTTTTACAATTTGTAGAATGTGCTAAAATCAGTTTTATTCATATTGCTGAATGTTACTTCAATGTCATCATTACACTTTTTTTTCTCTTATTCTCCATTAAAGAACCTATTAGCACTTTAACAAATTCTTCAGTTTTCGCTTGCTTAGTTCATTGTGCCTGACTATCATGTGCTGATAATCATATCGAAGTCGAAAAAAGAAAAAAATCTGCTTTCAAATATTTTCTGTTATTTTGTTTTCTTTATGTTAGGGGAGGAGGAAATTCCATAAATTTCTTGCTTTATACCTTGCATTATATTGGAAAAATAACTTTTAAATGTCAGAGTTTTTTTTTTTTTTTTTTTTTTTTACTAGCGTGATTTTAAATATTTTTCCTCCCCTTGGCAAATAATGCATATTTCATAAAGTTTGCACATGAAAAGAAATGTACTTATAATTATTTCATTAATAAATTTGTTAATAGGTTAATTATGTTTGATTATTAAAATATATAATAAGTTTAATTAAGGATAACAAAACAATGATTAATTGTTTAAGTTAGGGCATTAGTCTTCTATGTTGTACTTTATGGTAGTAATGTTAGTTGATCTGTTGCTGTTGTTGAAACCTTTTCAATCTGATGTGTAGATGTGCATAATTTACTTAAATTTACATGTGAGATCATGTGTAATTTACATGATCCCACAAATTCTTACTCTGAAAGCTTTTCATGCTCTTGGATTTTTTTTTTTTCATAACTCATTGAAAAATTGTCTTTTCTGAAAATAAGGTAAAATAAGGTAAGTCAGTGATCAGTTTTACATTTTTGAAAAATAGCTAAATTTGAGTTAGAATTTTGTGAGAATAACAAAATATTATTACACAACATGAATTATTTTCTACAACTTTTGCCAAAATTTAGAGATCATGCTTGTTGGTAATTAGTTATAAGATTTAAAAAATTGTTAGTTTTTTTAATTAAGTTTTCATGTTTGCAAAAAGTTTTTCATTTTATCTGCCAGTGCTAACTTGCCTAAGTCTTATTAAGGACTTCTATGACAATTATTAAAAAAATATGTATGCATCTAATCCTAACCATCTAACTTACAGTTTTATAAATTTTACTTATTTATTTACTGATTTTTCTCTTTTAAATGGTTATGTTGGGATCCTCAGAAATTTATTTATGTTAATTTGTTAGTAAATTTATTACATTTTATCTGTTTTAAATAATTTTATTTAATTTTATTTTTATTATGTGTATTTTAGTTCAGAAATGAGGCTAAATGTAACTTAGTATTTTGTTTTCATAAGTACAGCATAACTTAAAACTGAATTAGTTTCTGGGTTCACAAGTACATCACATGTAAAGGAGTGTCTATATTAAAATTAGTCCTGCAGTGGACTGATCGTAAAAACATGTTTCCCAGTTGAGCACTGTAGTCAAGCATGACTGGCTATGGTCAGTAGGCAGGTGGGTGATCACTTTGTTCAGCCTGCGTAGGATTCAAGGGTGAGATTTTATTTTTTTCTTGTAATGAGATAAGAGACAAGGCACTAGACAACAAAACACTAGCTGTCATTCTTAATATTTAAAAAATTACTGTGGCTCTTGATTATTACTTTTTTTTCTAACGGCAGGTACTGAACTTTTAGTTCTTCACCTCGGAAGATGCCGGAAGTGTTACTCATTTAACGTTACCTAAACAGTATATATGCTTTAACTATCCCATAAGAGGAATTTCAAACACTTAATGCATTTTTAGAAAATAAATTAACTTCTTAATTTTCATAAGTGCCATTCTCTCACAATGAGTGAGTAAGTGAGAAAATAAGTATTATTTGCTTTTGAAGTATATTCATATAAATACAATTAAATTAACATATATTCTTTAATTATTCCATTAGAGGAAATTAAAACACGTGTTAATCCATTTTTAGAAAATAAGTTAACTTCATAAATTTAACTGAGCAAATGAGAGTGTCATCATAATACTTATCCAATTTGCTTGTTCAGTTCCTTTTTACACTTTGAAGAACTTCTCCCAATTTTAAAATTTTTTCAAAACATGTGCACTGTTTCTACCAAAATAATGGTATCTATCTGGAATATTCTGAATCGCAATGAGTGAGGAAATGATATAAATTATGAGTTTTCAACTTTTATGCTGAGTAAAAACCTATTTAAAAAGCAAAAAATTAATGCATAGAAATAATACAACTGTTAATTTTAAAAGATTAAGGTTTAATAAGAAAAGTATTGATATTTCCGTGAGAAATGTTTTTGTTTATAGGTTAATAGAGTTGCAAATGAGGGAATGAGATATTTTAGGTTTAAAAATTAGTAAAAAATATTTTTTTCAAATAATACTTCAAACTTATATGGTAATAAAGACATCTTCTAACTATAATATTAAACTAATAACTTTTTCATTTTTCTATAGAAAAAACTAAAATAAATTTCCTTTACGTCATTTTAGGCTATTTGCAGAGAATTATCAGTAACTAGATTATTTTTAAAAAGAACAATATAAATTTGTCTTAAGAATTAAACGATAAAAATTAAACGATTCTTATATTTTTGACAAATATGTATGATACGAATAAATC